GGGGGCACCTTTTCTCTCCTCCTTTGAAGGAATGCGAATGAGGCTAAATTTTTGGCCAATTTTAGGTTGATCACCCTATCACTTAGTTACATGACAGCAGGAATATTCATTAAAGAAAAAACAAATTGTTAGTGATTATGTTCCTAAAATAAAGACAAAATTAGGTTTGATTTTAGGTTGACTTTTTTGAGGTAAAGGTCAGTTTTTTAATCAGAATTTTTTTTTTTAATATATTGATGACGCCGTCACATTTCTTTTAATTAAGAAACAATTCGTTTTTATTAACAATGAATTCTTTACCTCTTTTTTTCTGTAAGTAAATCGAAAATAATTTTGTCTCAACTTAAAAATACGTTTTCCCCGTGAATATTCAGATCGTGAGTCGTCACTTCTCGCGTTATGCTAAACTCAATTCCTTCAACAAATATTTGAGTGAAGCTTTTGATTCGTCGAAAACTTTTTGCTTCTCGGCAAAAAGAAAGAAGAAAAAAAGCTCGGAAGTTGTGACCAGCCGCGAGGTGGGGGGGGGGCGGCGCAGAAACGTAGTTGGAAAAGTGTTGAAAAGCTCGATTTGCATAGAGATAGAAACCGTCAACGAGCGCCATAATTTATACGTGCGGATGCGTCCGTACGCTCTGCTTTGTCGCCCGCTCGCGCCGCCCGAGCCCTGCTCCCGTTTTCATTCGAGGTTGCCATCCGTGTTTAAAACATTGTAAAACAAAAAACAAAAACAAAAAAACGATGAAGACAAAAAAAAACATTAAAAACAAAAAACAAAAACATAAAAACCAAAAAAATCATAAAAACAAATAAAAACAAAAAAACAATAAAAACTAAAATACTAGAAAACAAAAGAAAACAAAGAAAGCATAAAAAAAGAAAAAACAAACAAAAAAAAACCAAAAACAAATAAACAAAAAAAAGGAAGTAGGCCGAAAAACCTGCGTATAGATACGTTGCTAGAAGTTCGTTCCATACGCTATTTTAAATTTTAGCTAAATGTGGTGTCATTTGAAAGGGGTAGTGAGGGACAATCACTTTATTTTGCATTTTAAAAGTTTATCTTGTCTTGGGGGTGAAATTTGGAACAATTAGGACATCCTAGGAAATTTGAAGTCCCTCCCTTCCACAAATGTTGCCTTCTCCCAAAATCTAGCTGAATTATCGTCTATGTAAATTTTTTTTTTTTTTTTTTTTTTTTACTACCTCATTGATTTCAATTCGGGTATCAAAGTTATTTCGAACCATGCGTTTCCATAATATTATTCTGTTACAAAAACTAACATTTTCCTCCAGTGCTTCTAGGGTCAAACTCGGCTTCCTTTTCACACACTGACCGGGTAATATTCCCTCCAGTAAAATTTCATGATCTGAAGAAGCTCTCCGCGGTTTACAACCTCCTCTCGGTTATTCGAGTTTACATGTAGTAAAATTACCCACAAATCGGACAACTTGGTTGTATGAGCTGCCATGCCAACTTGTCGCAAGTTTGAGCTGTACAACGTACCCTCCTCGCCCCTCGCGCCATTCCTAACTCTCTCCGTTCCTGTCTCTCAGTCTGTGCTTCTTTCGCTATTTTTATTTTATATATTTCGTAGGTTTTATCACACCCTGTTTCCTCTCCTGTCAGCTTCCTCACCAGTTTTTGCTCTCCGTTTTCTCTCGTGCGCCTTGTCTCCTTCTCGCCGCGGACTTAAATTTTCCCCTCCCCTCGCGAATACGATCCCACCGTGTTTCCTTCCAAAGAAACAAAAGGAAGGAGCCGTAGTTTCTTCTTTCCAGCGATGCAAAATGTAAAAATTAACACCGATCGTTCCTTGGAGCTGGATACTTGTGGAAATATCGACGACCAAAGCGCGAAACCACTTATCCTCATTGCGGTGTTTCAAAATTCCCATTCAAATTTTATTTTCTTGAAAGCACAAGCAGACTTCATAGCTTGCAATTTATGTACACAATATTCTGCTGCAGTGTTCGAAACCCTTCTTTGAGTTTCCGGAGCCATATGACACATCAAGCTCGATTTTCAGGGGCCACTGACAATTTTTTTGGGGCCAAACTGACTTTTTGCCTATATATCACGGCGCACTCAGTGAAAAGTTGGAATCCGATGCCGTACGTCGAAATTTCAAAAAATCACCAAACAGAAAGATTAGGATTCTTTTTTAGGGGTAGGGGGCAATTTTTAGGGGAAACGCTGGCCTGGCGCAGAGCCTACATTTATTAGGCGCCATGACCGATTTCTTGAACTTATTTGGCGTGTTGGCGCCTGTGAGTTTTGAATACTGTCCTGCTGACAGGGTAGAAAAATCAAGGAAATTTTCAAGAAATTACATTGACTACTTTTCCAAAGAATAAATAAATTATGAATGGAAGTCTGTAACGTCGCAAACGGAGATACGTGGTTTCGTACTTAGGCAATCGATATGCATCGAATTTTTATTTTTTTTTATTTTTATGTTAACTCCATCGCAATTTGTAGCAAGGAAAACCAGGGGTCGGCAAAGTTATAGTTGTCCCGAGAGGATAATGGAACGAGAGGAATTAGAGTCTTTGCCGTTAGCTCTTAGCCTTTGCTCTTGGAAGTTAGTCTTTGCCTGAGGACAAAGCGAGAGAGATCACATTTGCTTCTAAACTTCCCGTCTCGCTCCCTGAGAACCTGAATCGACACCTTAAATAAAAGTTTATCCTGCCTGTGAAAGTCACCAAAAATTATATTTTTTACGACTAGGTATAAATTCATACAGCCAGGTTTATTACGTCATCGCGCAACGGTGGTGCTGTACAGTCCTCGTGGTAACCTCCCCCCCCCCCCCCCCCCCCCCCCCNCCCGCCCCTCTGAAGATGAACCCGCCGCACGCGACGAAGGGAACCTGTACGACTATCATTTATCATAATACAAAAAATGAAAAATATTGTTTCCCAAGAAAGCAATTATCGAGATGATAGCGAGTTTGCTTATTCATTTTACCCGCTCTGCGGAGCATCATTCCGCGAGGCTCGGATCTCGGGAGACGGCTCGCGCCCTTCTTTTCGTCGTCAAAAAAAAATTATTTTTTTCTGGGGAAAACACGCCCTAATTCGGGAAACAAGAGACGATGTGTCAGGATGAGAAGTTACAGGTATGATTTAATCGTTTCAACATTTCCGCAGTACATCTTTCTCGCAGGAAGTAATCCCATTTAATTGTTTTTCTTTTCGTCCCCAATTTACGGATTATTATTTCTATTTGTCGTATCTTTCTGTTTCTCTTTTGTGTCAACCGCGAACTATCTTATAATCACCCCGCCGTGAAGGAAAGTAAACAAATAACGCACCAGATAGTACCAACAAACACCCTGACGAAGAGTTAAATGCTGGACCAGGGCTGCACACGTTAAATGAAAAATATGAAAGATCTGACATTCCCGTCAAACATTTCATGAAATTTCTCCAAGGTGTGAAAAATATGAAATAGATTTTCAGGGGCTGAGAATGCAACACGCACTAAAAAGCAAGATAAAGCAAAAGCCTCTTGCCCTCCATTTACTTTTACGTTGAATTTTGAATAATATTTTTCAATTTCTTTCATTCTTCCTGAAATTTCAAGACTTTTTTCATGAAAAATTGCAACCCTGCGCTGAGCAGGCGATGGATTTCGGAGACGGTCAGTACCTCTTTTTGCAAAGAATGCTAAGGAAAATACCAGTATTGATCACTAGGATTACGATTAGTTTTAGAAAGCAATCCCAGATATAAGCAGCCCACTTCTTCGTCGCTCTTAATTCCGTCGAATGTGCCCTTTACCCCCCCCCCCTCTTTTTGATAATCGCGGCGAGGATAAACGCACCGTACCCACTTCTTTTTCGACACTCGATACGGGTTTTATCAGCTCCTAGCGCGTCGCGTCTCGACTTCCAGCCTTGCTCGCGCGTGCAGGGTGTTGCATATCGAGACCATTGAAGGGGCCCGGCAGCTCCCGACGCTACGGTGGCGAGAAAAACGCAATTGCTCGGAAACATGGAAGCAACGTTGCCGTGTCGGGCAGAGTGAGTTGACGCATCAGCTCGTCGTTTCACTCATGAAAAACGTAACTACATTTCATTGTTGCCAAATTTCCCCTCGCAAATTTTATATCAATCCGGAGAACCTTGGGCATACCTATCTAAAACTGTCTTCCACTTTTCCTCAGATTTCATGCGAAAATCAGAAAAATGTTGTATTAAAACTGGACGGGTACAGTACAGGAAAATGAATTATTTGTTTGAGTCAATTTGGCAACCTTGGAATGGAGTTACGTTCTTTCGACCAGGAAATTTCAGGGAATTTTAAGAAGTCAGGGGAAACCGGGACTTTTAGGGAAAATGACGAAAATGTCAGGGGAAATTTGTTAAATCACCTTCATTTGCTTTCTAGAATGGGTCTGAGGTTTTGAACAAGAAATTTTGCCTGAAAACTATTTTCAATTATGCCTTATTAACCATCCGTCACGTCTTCAGTTGTCAGGGAATGCCACCAAAATGTGTCAGGAAATTCAGGGAAATGTCAGGGAATTTCATTTTCTAAATACTGTGGTAACCCTGACTTTTCTCAGAACGTATTCCAGCTTTTACATGACGAAATACTTCGTAGAGCAAATCGGAACTTTGTGAAAGTTCTATGGCGTCCCAATTTTCGGAAAGGCTTTTTCACTTCAAGGGCACTTTCACGGAGAAAAGTTTTATTTTTTTTATCGCGATTAAAAAGCTTGGAATATGTTGAGAATGTAGTAAAATCTTACGAAGTCTGAAAGAACAGTGCTGCCTATCTACAAACTGATGGTTTTGCAGGACAAAAAAGGGACCTCGGCATTTTTGTAATTTTTTGGTGAGGTTTGCAATTTTATTAAACATAATAGCATCTTTACAGCGCTCCCATTCAGAATTGGAAAAAACTATAAGCAGCAGCTCGCAAATTTAATATTAAGGAATGCGACGAAGTCTTTGTGTGTTATTCCTATCGGCTCAATTTTCCATTATGATGTGTCTTCCCGCCATTTTGAGTTTCCCGAGCGAATAGCCTCGAGGTAAAATCTAAGTTCCTTATTTTTTATGATGACCGATTTTATGGCATCGTTGCCCTCCCCCCAAAAAAGCCAATCTAAATCATCGTCTCACAGGTGGCCCTAAGACTTACAGTGATAGGATTACTGAAAATCCGATTAGCTTAAATCGCCAAAATTGGCGCTTACGGTTTATCTGTTGAGAGTCTATGAAATGCGTGGTGGATCCCAGCAGAGACTCCCTTGTTTTAATCGCATAAGGTAGTTTATGACTGGCCGAGACAAGTGCCTCGTTATTTTATGTGCCTGTAAAAAAAAAACTGGCATGGGTCTGTGTTGCTGTGAACCGTAATTATCCACAGAAATCGGCCATTATGATCGTCCCGTGATAAAAGCCAATTTTTTATGACGTGAACAACAGTTTGCATTTTGCAAGGAGAATTTGTCCTTAAGTCCCATTGGTTCAGTTTTTTTACGAGCCGGCATGCAACAAGTGAGCTCACCGAAGTTTCGTGAGAAAAACGAATTTTTAACGTTCATTAGTGATGCAACACTATTGAGATGACGGACTGTTCTAGAGTTCTATGTTCCCTTCCGATTGAAGCATTCCCATTTTCTACTGTTGAAATGGTCAAAGAAATTCTTTCCGTATATTTTTTTTATTTTTTTTTATATCTCCCAACCGAACTCTTGGCGCTAGATTTGTTCTTTCTATCATTTCAAATTATTAAAGAATTGACCTTAAATTAAAGGAACCCACAATGTATTCCCTTTTCCTTTCCCCAATTGAACTCTTGGCATTAATTTTTTTAATTTTTTTTTTTTTTTTCAAATTATCAAAAAATTAACATTAAACTGAAGGGACCCACAATGTATATACTTTCTCCCCTTTCAGTAATGAAACCCCTAGTTTTTCCCCTCCTTCCCTCCTGCAACTTGTACCCTTCCCTGCCCGATCCTATACCAAAACCCAACGCCCGACCGGGAAACAAAAGGGATAAGCTAAATAGTCGAATGAATGACAATGGCGCGATTTACAATTCAAAAAACCATCAAACAATTAAAACTTGGGCCGCCGGGGCCGTTTAGCGGGTAGTATTTGACGCGTCGTCGTCATTCGGGCGCAGAACTTTTCCCCGCCCCCC